ACACACATATATATACTTATATATACATATATATTCGTTACTAACTGCCAGGAAGGTAGGGTTTGCAGCGTTTGTGAACTGGATGCTCCCTGCTCTCATTCGCGGATAGAAAGCAGAGTTCACCAAAACAAGGCCTACAAATACTAAACAATTGGGGAAAATACTTCCCCAATTGTTTAGAGCAAGCCAGACGAAGTGAATGAACATTGAGACCTATTTCAGAGAGGTGGTTGTCCAAATCAGCAGCCTTCCGATGCTTCAGATCTCTCCCTAGAATTTGAGGCAAGGGCCAACTCCGCAACGACATGGCCTGTAGATCTTGTCTTAAGCTGATGGGCCCCTTTGCGGTTCCGCATGCACAGCCCAAGATGTGAAAATCAATTCTTCACACTGGGACTCGCTGTGTGGAAGCCCTGCCCAGACCCGTGGGAGGATCTAAAATTAGATCCCCTACATGGACCCAAAATGAGCCTCTAGAATCCGTATATACTTTCCCATATGGTTCTAGGGGATCTAAGTTTTGGACCCAAATAATATGGGTTTAGGGCCCAAATGCCACTAATCTTATAGTATTTGGGCCCTAAACCCCTATTATTTGGGTCCTTTTGGGGGGGTCTGGGTAAACCCTAAACCCTAAACCCTAAACCCTAAACCCTGAAGGCACCTGGAGCACAGACGGGCTGCGGAGATCAGAGACGCGGTCTGGGCCCGATGCAGTATATACACATATATATATATATGTATATCTATAGGCGCTAGAGAGGGTTGGAAATATATATTTGTATATTTATAATATTAAGGAATATGGCCAACAACATGATATTAGGATCCCTCATATGATTTAGGGCATATGCCTGAATCAAGGGGTATTGGACTGTTGGGGAACACGTTGAATCCATGGTTCAAGTGTATCAGCCAAGGTCAAGCAGCAGCTGGACATGACCAAGACGGACTTAGAGAAGAGAGAGCTGGAGCTTGTAATGCTGCCATACTTAGCATGCTGCTGAGGTCCTAGGCTTAAGTTTGATGATGAATGTGCGGAACGTTGACGCTGCCAGGGGGAGTTGAAAGCCGTCAGAGCTACGCTGCGCGACGAAAATGGTGGTTGATGCTTGAGACATTCCTGAGTCGGAAATGGTTATGTTTAACTTCAGATGACAGTTTCCGAAACGGGGCGGTCCCTCAAAGCAGAATGCAGGGGTCCCCCAAAATCGAGCCCGCTTAACTGGAGCCCCCATGTAGTACAGATACTGGCTTAAGGACCACTTCCTCGCTTCTCCTCAAGTAGTAGCAGATGCCGCAATGGGCAGATGCAGATTACCACTGCTCCAGCAGGGTGCAGCAAGCATCCTGCCCAAAGGTTCTGCCTCTTTTATGCAGAGA